TTTCCCCCAACTAGCTTTTGAGTCCTAAGCTGATGGCTCGCTATGTCCCTGGTCGGGATTCATTTTTGGAAGGATATAGGGAACGTTGTCCGGAAAGCTGGCAGGCGCACTGACGGCTGCCTGCACTTTCTCAGGACAGAACCTCACACCTGCCAGAGTGTTGATGTTCAGAGTGCGGTTGTCTGTGGTCGGTCTGTCTGAGGGCACCTCCCTGCCCTGCCTCTGGGTTTGTGGAAGTGTGACCCTCCTGCTGACTCCAGGGTACAGGCTGGTTCTCACCACCTCTCAGAAGGTCCGCAGGGGGTCACTTACAGGACAGTGCACAGAGAACTACTACTTGGTGCTTTTTTTTTTTTTTTTAAATTTTAGAGAGAGAGAGAGAGAGGGAGAGTGTGAGCAGAGGTGAGGGGCAGAGGTGGGGGCAGGGGGGAGAGAGAGAGAGAAAAATCCTAAGCAGGCCCCAACCTGAGCCTGGGGTTTGCGGTGCTCAATCCCACGACTCTGGGATCATGACGTGAGCTGAAATCAAGAGTCAGACACTGAACCAACCGAGCCACCCAGGTGTCTGAGAACCTCTTGAAGACAGAAAAAACAATCCTGTGTTCGCCAGTTTGTAATTTACTTTCAGTGCCTCTGTGGCATCCTGACCTAAGGGGTAGTGGCTGAGGAAGACCACCTCACCTTCCGTAGACATGTGCATTGGAATTGATGTGAAAGTGAAAGGGGCCTGACATTTGAATTCCTTGATTAAACACCCACTTGCACATTTGGGGTTTCGTATATTCCAGCTATTTTTCTTTCCCCTTTCACTGATTTTCTTTGTGTGGTTTTTGGCAGCTTTAATAATCTGAGTAGGATGATGTGAAAGTTACCAACGTGAAGACAAAGGAGGTGGTAATGTTAAGGCTGGGAGTTACAGCACATAATGTTCAGGAACTGTGAGCAAACAGAATCCCGCTATAATACTCATTTCAGTGAGGAAGACAAATACTGTGTTTCTGTGTTACAGCATTTATCCTGTAAGTATGATAACTGGATAATATAAAAAGATTTTTTTTTATGTTTATTTTTGAGAGATAGAGACAGACTGGGAGAAGGGGAGGGGCAGAGACAGAATCTGATACAGGCGCCAGGCTTCGAGCTGTGAGCACAGAGCCTGAAGCGGGGCTCGAACTCATGAACTGTGAGATCATGACCTGAGCTGAAGTTGGACGCTTAACCGACCAAGCCACCCAGGCGCCCCATAAAAAGATTCTTTATAGTAAAGATCTGAGTCTGTGTAATCTTTATCCTGAGTCCCAGCCGTTTCTAGAAATGGTATGTACCTTTTCTCCTTAAAGTTCAAGGGAGTTTCAGGTTTTGTTTTTTGTCTCATCTCATGGAAACTAGTCTGAAACATTAAATACCCTTATTTTATGGAAAAGCAGAATTCTAGAGAGATTAGATCATTTGCTCAGGGTCCTTCCTCAGGATAGGTACCAAGTCAGGAGTCACGAAGGTGCCCAGGACTCCACGCCCTCACTCACCTGCTCACTCTGTCAAGTCAGTGGTTCCTGTGCCTGCGGCCTCCTGACGGCCTCCTGACTGCCTCCCGCACGCGGCCTCTCCCCACCACGTGCCGTCTGTCCGTCTGCCTGTCTGTACACTACTCCCATGCCCAGTGCCTGCCCTCAGGGCACATCTCTCTGCAGCTACTGCCCCGCCTTTCACTGTGCCTGTCAAAGGCGGCCCAGTGAACCCTGGGCTGATGGAAAGCTCTCTGACTCCTGTGGCTGGGCCCTGCCTGTCTCTTCAGCTGGCTCTCTGACCGTCCTCTGCCTATGGTGCCCTGGCTCCGGCTTTACTAAATTCTTTGCAGTTTTTTAACATTCTGTGTTCTCTCACAACTCTGTGCCTTTCTGGCACTTTCCTTCTGTCAGATGCCTCCTCTTTGTCCTGTATCCTCAGCTCTTACTTTCCTTCAAAACTTAGTTTAGAGTCCGTTGTTCCTGGAAGCTTCCCTGAGCTTACCCTCTCCGACTCTCTTGCCAGCACCTCCAGAAAGACGGCATGGATTGTCCTTGTGAGGGCACTGTGTTCTGTGTTAGCACCGTAGTGTTGAGTTTATTTTTCTGTTTCCCACTAGCCTGCGGAGTCCTGTGAGCGGGAACTGTGTTAATTTTATCTCCAGCTGACCCATGACTGAGGCACAGTAAATACCCACTAAAGGGGCGCCTGGGTGGCTTAGTCAGTTAAGCGTCCGACTTTCGCTTAGGTCATGATCTCGTGGTTCATGGGTTCGAGCCCCGCGTCGGGCTCTGTGCTGACTGCCAGCTCAGAGCCTGGAGCCTGTTTCAGTCTGTGACTCCCTCTCTCTCTGACCCTCCCCTGCTCACGCTGTCTCTCTCTCTCTCCTAGAAATAAAAAAAATAAATAAATAAATAAATACCCACTAAAGAATAGCAAAGTCCCAGCTTTCTAGAGCCTTATGCAAAGGTTCTTTATCAGAGCTCTTGGTTAGTATTAGGGACCGGTGTCATTAAGGGCAGACTCTCCTCCAGACAGTGTTCCGGGCACTCTACGCGTGTTCGCTCACTGCGTCAGCACAGACCTGTCACAGACCCGTGTCCCACCGTGAAACGGAGGTGCGGAGCACTTACGTGACTTGCGTAAAGACAAAGCTGTTACATGTTAGGATTCAATCCTGAAAGTTTGGCTCCTGAAATCATATTTTGTGCAATGTGTTTTATCCCTGACTCCTGTTCCCAGGTTGATCTGATGTTACTGGTAGAAAACAGGATAAAAATAGGAAGAGATCTCAAAACTTTTACCACCTCCTCCTCTCTGAACTAGAGCGAAGATGAGAGCTGGGGGGCTGGAAGGAGGGAGAGGAGGAGGGAAGTATGTTGATTTAAATAAAGGCACTCGTTAATTTACTTATATTTTAAAGTAAGTAAAGGTTGTACAAATGAATTTAGGTTTTACTATTTTTAACAATATTTCCATAAAACAATTTGGACTGAAAGAAAATGGTGAATACCTGGGATAGCTTTTATGCTATTAATTTATTTCGCTGCTACTTTTTAGGTATTTGTAGACATTTAACAAAATATTTTTTATTCTCTTTGAGCTTTCAAGACACCACAAGCCTCTTTGTTTAACTCTACAGTTTTCAGATGATTTTCTCATCTGACATAGAAGTCCTGTACTTCACAGACTTCTTGGAAAGCTCAGGAACTACATGGGCTGGAGGGGCTTGCACCCCCTTAGCATGCTCAGGGCTCTGTGGCCTTGAACACTGCAGCAGGCCCTTACCCGCGGCAGGGAGGGAGGGATTACTTATAAACTCCTCTGCTGGGTGAGAAGTGCTTTTTTTTAAAATGCCCTCTTCTTAAGGCTGATGGCTTTCTCCCCTGCAACGTTCTCCCCATAGAGTGTTTCAGAACCATCCCTCAGTAGATATTAGTAAATGTCTGTGGATTTCTTAAGTGAAGGAAAGTCATATAGTGATCTGAGGTAGTGCTTATTCTAGTAAATGATCGGTTGTGTTACTAATAAGTTCTAGGAAGCCAGTTAAAGTCATTTATAAGAGACATCCCCACCCCATCCTCATGACGGGTGAGCCGGTGAGTGAGGGGGCTTTGTGCAGCAGTGTGTTCTTTGTGGCCTTATGTCCCAAAAGTATGATTAAGTCCTGGGGAGAAAGCATGCGCTGAAATAGTAGCAGCTGCAGATCCAGACAGCAAGCACAGTTAGATGCTTGCCCTCCATAAACTCAGTGTAAGAAAAATAATTCTCACAAAATGATAGGGCAAGGAAACTGCCTATTGGATTCATCCTTCAGTAGTTTAATGGGTAGGAGGAGAGAATGATAGCAGTTTTCTAGCGCTTACTCTGACAGCCAGTGTGACAAGGGTTTGGCAGTATTATTACTCCCCGTTTTACAAATGAGGCAGCTGAAGTCAGAGACTACCCAGGGCCACACAGCTTAGGAATAATTGAACCCAGGTCCAAGCCTGATTCCAGAGCCCATGCCCTGAACCACCGCACTGTGTGGTACTTGGACTGATGGCCCCTCAGGGCTCCCAGACACATCTTATATTTAGAGGAGCTCTCCTCATAGCTTACATTTTGCCAAGAATTTTTATTACTTCCATTCCCGACCTGGACATAAATACTGCAAATCATTCTATGTACTTCATTGTTTTGTGACATTTTTTTAGGCACATGGAAATTCTAGAAAAAATAGACCTGTTTAGCTTTAGTGATCATCAAATAAATATAAAGTAAACAGTAGATTCACTTTTCACTTACCAAATTAATAGTTTATATTTAGAATTAAAATATTCATGTTGGCTAAGAAGCAGTGAAGCCCAGACTGTCACAGGGGAGCGGGGGGGGGGGGGCGGTAAATTGGTAAAATGTTTTTGTAAACCAAAAAATACCAATTTATATATAAAGCTTTAGAAACATGTATATCCTTTGCCCAAGGAATGCCAGTACTGGGATTCTGTCCAGTGAAATACTAGAAAGTACAGAAGTAATAGTGTTTAGAAAAGACCTTTAGGTATATAGATACATGGTCAAATAGTAGAATGTAACAACTTTTTTATTTTAAATTGTGCTAAATAAGTTCTACACACATGCATTCAAGTGTAATACTCCATTTTAAAATAATTTTGTTTCTTTTCCTTCATCCTAAAGTAGCCTGGAATATTGGCATTATTTGCTGCCTTATACTTGACACCATTTTCTGTAACTGTGAGCTCACACAGAAGTACAGAGTAAGCCCCGTGTTTGGGCATAGATTTCTGGCATGGTCCCTTGTTCTCACCTACCTCAGTGTTAACTAATTAGAACTGCCAGTCATCAGAGACTAAAGTGTATTAACGATACAGTTTTTGTTAGAAATGTTTATAGTTGTCATTGAATAGATTGTATTCTTTACAGTATACCTTAATTAGGCTTTTAAAGTTTTACAAAAGACTTTATTTAAAAGAAAGAAAATATCTAGTACTCACCTCTCAGTGACTTGTTGGGGCTCTGTGTGAGAGCAGTCCGTATTTGCCCAACTGAAGTAGGTTACTTTGGCATGTTGCTCGAGAGATTATGCAGACATCCTTTTATGGTGGTGGCTTTTTGTCACGCTGTGACTGAGCATAGCAATGATCAGTTACCCTCATATATGCGTGTGCACTTTTTTTTTTTAAATGGGAAGTGAAATTTTTCTGTTAGTGATTTTTTTAAAAAACAATTATCCAAAAACCCCTTGGAATTTATGAACTGCTAATATCTGTGGAACTTTATAAGTTTTTTAAATAAAGATTTAAGTCAGTATTAAAAAATTTCTTTAAAAGGAAGACTAAAGCAATAAACCTTCACCGGAAAAAAAAAGAATGATAATTACTGATGATTTTGTATCTATATTCTCTATAAAAGTGTGTGTTTTTAAATGCTTTAAAGAAAAAAATGTCAACTGTGACAGTTCTGTCTACCTGGAAACTTGAAGCAGAGAGCAGTTTACTCGTTCTGTATCTTAATGAGAAAGAAACAAAGGTTTCTGTGGTGAGTGGGAGAACGATGTTCTTTTGCATCGTACAGGGACTAGTCGATGTTTTCAGGCAGGAGCCCAGATGACAGGGTGGGTGACTACGTGAACACGTGGATGACAAGCGAAGCGTTGAAGGGGGACATCTGACAGCTGATAGTCCAGCCTCTTCACAAAGGATGGAGACCTGTGCTGTTCACCTTTCAGTTCTAGGTGGCTCAGTTTAACCCAGCTAATGTAACAGGGCTGTCAAATACAACTTGTGTGTAGGCTAAATGAATAGTGTAGCAGTCTGAACGGGAGAGGTGATATTTACACTTATCCAGCACTGACCTGGCCATTCCCAGTCAGTTCTGGGTGCTGCATTTTACGAAGGGCATAAATGACCATGTGATCAGGTTGGTAAGGGGTCTAGATCCCAGGTCTTAGGAGAAATGACTGAATAAACTGAGAATGCTTGGGCTTAGCCGGGGTGTGATCATCTTCCCCATGCACTGGAAGTTGTCCCATAGAAAAGGACTTAGGTTGTGTATTTGAGTCTTCCCAACTCCAGAGAATATAAGGAAGGCCAGTAGGAGAAAGTCACCAGAAAGAGCTTTCAAATCAAAATATGAAGCTAGTTCCCAAAAGTTAGGATCATTAAAAAAAATGGAAGAGGCTCTTTTTTATTTAGGTGCCTACATAAACTGGTTGACTGTTTTGAGGGATGATACAGAGAGAATTGAATTATTTGGTAGGAAATTGTTCCTTTGAGACTTCTTGTCTTCCACTCCAGAATCTGTCAAAATGGCCAAGTGGCTTCAGCACCCCCCTCACTGGTATCATTCCATCTAGAAGCTTACTAGGTTCTTCTAAGCTTGAAAATGCTGGAGATGCTGAACGCTGTCAGACAGAAGAGCAACCACTTACCCAATTCTTTGTGCCTCCACCTCACTGTCTATAAAATAAGGGTACTGAAGTAAATGATCGCCAAGATAATTCCAAGTGCAAACATTCTGAGGAGGAAATACAGAGATTTTATGATTTGGTGATAAATATGATAAAATATTCCACAATTAATTTATTTAAAACTTAGATTGAAGACTATTTGAAGAAGACACTGTTGAGCTTCTCAATTTGTTGAAAGGACGTCCTGGTACGGTGTTTTGGTTTTTAATATTTGAAAGAATTTTTATTAAGTAAAACGTTGTGTAATGAAGAACTCAACTAGGTAAAGTAAATGTTCTAGCAAACTGGATCTCCCTCTGATTTGTTATTAGAGTGGTCACGTATATAAAGAAAAGGGTGCAGGGTGATTGTCCTGTGAGACGCTGTGGGGGGTTGGTGTGTGATAATTTCATGAGCCCACAAACCTTATTTTTATTGTTATTAAAAGTTACCATGATTTCTTTTGTTGTACTATAAAAGTGCAGTCAACATCCTTTCCTGTAGAAGAGCTAAGATGGACATTTGTGACCTGAACTGAGTGTGTTTTATGATTTTATTCTATTGAGTACAGTTGTGAGTATACAGTAGATACTAATTATTAGTGACATTAGTTGAAAGAATGAATGAATGATAACCTGTTTTCCTCTTTTCTTTACTTCACATTCATATATGTAAGTCAGATGGGGCTTCCAGAAGTTAGTTATTCACAGTTTGGAAAGAGTCAAACTGGATTATTGTTGCCAAAATACACAACAGATGTTGTATCATAAAATAAGGAAAAGAGAAAAACTGGTCAGTGACTAATAACATTATGATAGTTTGTGAAGTCTGTGTGTATAGAAATAGCAATGGAAATTTCTACAAAACAACCTGTATATTCGTGGTCTGAAATGTGTGCTTTTGTATTATGGGTGGATGTGGTCTAGTACTTAGTCATCATTTAAAACTATACAGTGATAACTTCTAAGGAATTTTTAAACTTCTTTTATTGGTATATAAGACATGAACTGTGGTCATTAAAATTCCTATCAGTATTGTCTTAGTTTATGTTGAAATGTAACTTCAAACACGAACGTGGTTTCAGATTGTCTATTGTAACATCATCCACTACATTTTATTGGGACTTCTATAAATTAATTACCTCAAAAAACATGTTCTGTGGTGCGATCTCTCAGGTACAACCAAAATAGTTTTCTTATTACCAAGAGACCCACAGGCTGTATTTTGAGTGTATATATGAAACTGTATGTTTTAATCTCACTAAAAATAATAAAACAAGATGCTTTTTAAAATAAAAGGCAAATTCTGGTTCGCCATTTTAAAGAGAAACTCAAGTCGGCAGAGATCGCTTCTCGGCCTCTTGGCTAAGATCAAGTGCATTTAGTCGGCAGATATTTTTTAAGCAAGCCCTCTGTGCCAGGCATGGTTTTAGAGAGTGGTGATAACACAGCAAACAAACAGGCAGAATCCCAGGCTCCGTGGAGTTTCCCACCAGGCGGGGAGACAAATGATAAATAAGTCACACAGTAGATGATGAGCTTGTAGGTGCTGTGGGGAAAGGAAACAGAGAATGCAGAGTGGGGATGGGTCTGTAATGTGGGGTAGGGGCTGCACTTTGGAATGAGGCGGCCAAGAAGGACCTCCCTGAGAAGGAGCCTTTTGAGTAAAGACCGGAAGGGCGTGAGGGAGTAAATGGCCCACATGTCTGTGGGAAGGTGGCCAGGACAGGCATGTGCCGTGGGGCACCAAGTGAGACATACCTTGTCCAGCATGGCTGGAACAGCGACAGCTAGTGGTGGGGAGGCCAAGTAGAGGGAGGAGTAGCAGTGGAAGACCCAGTCTGAGGTCTGGGTTGTGGGGCCTTGCCAGGTCTTTGTAAAGACTTTGGCTTTTACTCAAGGCTGGGGACTCACTGGAGGATTTTAAGCCCAGGAGTGACTAATTTGCACTTTTTAATGGGAAGAATACACAGCTACTTAATCAACTTTGTTTGGGTTTAGATAAGTTGAATTGGAACAAAACAGGTTTTTTGTGTAGTATTTAGAATGGCAATTTAAATAAGTCTCTGTTGCAGAGATTAATTCTGAGAGGGAATGTGTAGCTCAGGGTCTGGCGTGGAATAGGTAAGGAGGTCAGTTAACATTTACTAGATGAGGAAGAGAAGAATTTTCCACACAACAACCAGAACATTCTTTCAGGAAAGACAACTACATATTTGCTTTGATTTGCTCTTGGACATATGTCTCATTCAACTACAGTCACAAAGAGGAAGTTTGTTTATAGAAAGCTATTGCCAACATTTTAAGCTATTTTCTCTATTAATATATATTTCAAAGCTTAAAAATTCATGGAGAAGAAAATTATTTTCTCTTGTAAACTTTCCATCTTTGCTGAATAATTCTTAAGACTGCTGAGTGTGCAGAGTTGAGAGATCAGCAGAGATGATGGTTATAAAGTAGATCAGATAGTTTTTGTTCCCTAACAAACCATTCTAAACCTGGTGACTGGGACGTGTAGGTGGCTCTGTTGAGCATCAGACTCTTGATTTTGGCTCAGGTCATGATCCCAGGGTTGTGGGATCAAGCCCCATGTGGAACCTGCTTAAGATTCTCTCTCTCTCTCTCTCTCTCTCTCCCTCCCTCCCCCCTTCCCCTCCCCCTTCCCCCCTCTCCCCCTTTCCCCCTCCCCCTCCCCCTCTTCCTCTCCCTCCCTCTGCCCCTCTCCCCCATTTGTACATACTCTCTCTCAAAAATTTAAAAAAAAATTGAAAATGAGGGGCGCCTGGGTGGCTCAATTGGTTAAGCATCTGACTTTGACTCAGGTCATGATCTCACGGCTCATGGGTTCGAGCCCTGCGTCAGGCTCTGTGCTGACAGCTGGCTCAGAGCCTGGCACCTGTTTCAGATTCTGTGTCTCCCTCTCTCTCTGACCCTCCCCTGCTCACGCTGTCTTTCTCTCTATCTCTAAGAAATAAATAAAAAACATTTTTAAAAAAATTAAAATTAAAAAAATAAGTCTCTGTTCATTAAAGTTGCTTTGTTAGTTTTTTTTATAATCAGACAAATATTGAGAGTCAATGTAAGAATTTAAATTAGGTATTAGGGGGATGCAATGCTAAGTAAAATATTGTGCTTTCCTTTTTTATTTTAATGTTTTTTTAATGTTTTATTTATCTGAGGGAGAGAGAGAGAAACAGCATGAGCAGGGGAGGGTCAGAGAGAGAGGGAGACACACAATCCGAAACAGGCTGCAGGCTCTGAGCTGGCTGTCAGCACAGAGCCCGATGCAGGGCTCAAACCCACGAACCGTGAGATCATGACCTGAGCCGAAGTCGGACGTGTTAACCGACTGAGCCACCCAGGTGCCCCAAATATTGTGCTTTGTGACAGAATTTGATAGGAGATGTTTTAAAACCCTGTATAGGTAAAATGTGATCATAAAAATAATCTCAAAATGGTTAGACCTAAATGTGAGGCCTGAAACTATAAAACTCCTAGAAGACACAAGCAGTAACCTCTTTGACATACACACTTTTTTCTAGATATGTCGTCTCAGGGAAAGGAAACAAAAGCAAAAATAAATTTTTGGGACCACACCAAAATAAACAGCTTTTCCACAGTGAAGGAAACCATCAAGAAAACAACAAGGCAGCCTACCAAATGGGAGAAGATCCTGCAAATGATTTATCTTATGAGGGGTTAATATCTGAAATATGTAAAGAACTTATGCAACACAACACCAAAAGGCCCCACAAATAATTCAATTAAAAAATGGACAGACCTTGACTAGACATATTTCCAAAGAAGATCTACAGATAGCCAACAGATACATGAAAAGGTGCTCATTTGTCAGGGATGTGCAGATCAAAACCACACTGAGATATCATCTTAATCTGTCAGAATGACTACAATCAAAAAGACAAGAAATAACAAGGCAAGGATGTGGGGAGAAAAAAGAAACCCTCATACACTGTTGATGGGAATGTGAATTGGTGCAACCACTGTGGAAAACAGTATGGAGGTTCCCTAAAAAATTAAAAATAGAATTACTGTATGATCCAGTAATTCCATTACTGAGTATTTACCCAAAGAAAATGCTAATTAAAAAAGATAAATTGGGGTGCCTGGGTTGCTCATTCGGTTGAGCATCCGACTTCAGCTCAGGTCATGATCTCATGGTTCGTGGGTTTGAGCCCCACATCGGCTCTATACTGACAGTTAGTTCAGAGCCTAGAGCCTGTCTTTGGATTCTCTGTCTCCCTCTCTCTCTGACTCTCCCCTGCTCATGCTGCTTCTCTCTCTCTCTCAAAAATAAATAAAACATTTTTAAAAAAAATAATAAATGACATGTGTGTTTATTGCAGCGTTATTTACAGTAGTCGCGATATGTAAACAACCCAAGGGTCCACTGATAGACGAAAGGCTAAAGATGGAGCGTGCACACGTGTGCGTGTACACACACACACACACACACACACACACAAAGGAATATTAACCATAAAAAAAAGAATGAGGAATGAGATCTTGAGGGCACTTGTTGGGATGAGCACTGGGTGTTGTATGTAAGTGATGAGTCACTGGGTTCTACTCCTGAAAGCAATACAACACTGTTATGTTAACTAACTTGAATTTAAATAAATTATGTGCTCAAAAAAATGAGATCTTGCCATGGGAAACAACATGGATGGACGTAGAGGGGATAATACTAAGTAAAGTAAGTCAGAGAAAGACAAACACCATATGATTTTACTCATATGTGGAATTAAAGAAACAAAACGAATGACCAAAGAAAACAAGAGACAAATGGAAAAACAGACTCTTAAATAAAGATAACAAACTGGTGGTTGCCAGAGGGGAAGTGAGTGTAGGCAAGGGAATCAAGAGTACATTTATTGGGTGTAAAGGGAGGGAGAAAAACAGAAAGACCAGCCAAATGTCTACTGAAAGAATATTTAGAGCACCAAATCCCTTCCTTGCCTCAGATTGGTAGATGGCTGCCAAGTCTACCAATCTCACCCCAGCAGAAGTCTGGGGTTTCATTCTCTGGAGAGGTCTCTGAACTGTAGGATACGAGGCATATCCTAACCCCTCACCCCTATCCCTAACACTAACCCTAACTCTGTTCCCCTGGAAAGATCTCTGAACTACTGGATACCAAGCACATGCTTTAACTCTAACCCCAACCCTAATCCTAGATTTAAAAAAAAAAAAAAAAGAGTACATATCATGAGCACTAAGTAATGTATAGAAATGTTGAATCACTATATTGTATACCTGAAATAAATATAACCATATGCTACTTATACTACTTCAAATAAAAGTAAATAACAAAAAAGACTAGAATTATAGCCACGAGGTTATTCTCATAATTACTATCCCATTTTGAAAAAAAAAAAAATGGTCATACAGCTGTTCAAGAGTAAGGATGATCTTATGGCCCTAAATTGAATGGGCTTCCGGGCTGTGCCAAGCACTGTGATGCATGCCGGAGGATCCAATCCAGGAGGATGCATTTCCTTCCCTGCTGTGGGAGGTACTTTGTCTAGGAGGCGAGCCAGACAAGTGAGGCATTTGAAGCTGATCCACTGTCCTGCCTGCATGCCTTGGCTGCTCTGTCTCCATCCTCCTTCTCGCAAGTGGAGAAAGATTGCATCTGACACATGTGTGTTTCCGGTCCTTACCAATGTCTGACACTCAGGTGCTCGCTAGGTCCTTACCGGTGTCTGGCACTTAGTTGCTCGCTCGCTATTTGGGGTTTTTCCCAATCCTAGTATTTGCTGCATTCTCGTAGATGCCTATAGATGCTGCTGCCATCTTTCACATTTGCAGTGTATGCTTGCTTTCATTTTGTTTTTGGAAGCAGAATTGAGAGGACAGTGTGATGTAGTTGTTTGTTTTTTTTTTAATAACATGATCTTTATCAAAGACGGGAAAATTTTGCACAAGAGGCCAAGAGTGTTCTGTGTTTCCACAAAAGTGGCAATGAGAACATTTCTTGCACTTTTTTGTGTGTGGTAAAGATATACTCATGCCACTCACCAAACACACGCACCACCACCAACAGCACAGAGGAAAAATAAAAGCTACATTGAGTCATTAAGCCAAGCGTCTAATGATGAGTGGGTGCAAGCACGTGCCCAGACCACTCTCCTCATTCATGCTTCCTGCCTAGCCCTTGTGGGAATGTGAGTGTGCAGTCCTGGAGCTAATTCCTGGAGATTAGAGACTGCTGCTTAGGCATAGACATAGATGGAGCTCCTGAAGCTGGGCTGCCGCCTCACACAGTGCCCAGGAGATCCACTGATTGAAACAGTGAAACTGAGGTAACTTCTAGGGCAGAGGACGGAGCTTCTGGCCACCCAGAGGAGCCGGAGTAGTATCCTCAGGAAAGGATTGAGCTGTCGCACGCGGAAAGTGTTTCCTAGGCAGAAAAGTGGAAAGGACATTTAGGTTGGAAGAATAACTTGCGTCAGTGAATGGTCAATAGAGCCTACTGTGCCCAGGGAGCATCCTTGGGGGTTGAGATGACGGGGAGGAACCAGATCGGGAGAAGGGAGAGAAGGGCAGTTGTGGGAAACCACACTAATAAGCACGAATTGGAGTGCTTTGCTATTTCATGCTAATATTTACATTTCCTCTTTGGATCCCGGGCACCTGTGGAACGATGGGTTTAAATAGGGTTGTGACATGATCACTGTTTTGTGTGTCAGCAGTTTAAGAGATGGATTAGAGAGAAACAACACTTTAATTAGACACTGCGACTCTTGAGTATGTTAAGTTGAAGGTATCAAATTGAGTTTCATAACCAAGGGGAGGGCAGGCAGACAGTTTGGGGACTCCATTTTTGTAATCAATGCTGTGGAATGGCTTGCGATGATACCAAAGAGAGACTGGAGTAAGAAGAGGCGATGGTGATCCCTGGAGAGGCCAGAAGAAGAGTGGGTGGCAGGAAAAATCTGGGGGACCAGCAAAAACAGGTTTTAAGGTGGGGTGGGGTAGGGGTTTGAGGAAGGGAAGGCAGGAGCGGGAAGGGGGTCCAGTACTATAATGATCTATTTGGACAGTGTGAGATGAGACTTTGGGGTGTGAGCACGATAAATTACGTTTGTCGCTTTTGTTAAAACCTCTTTCATTAGATTTAAGTCATTCATGGGAAGAAAACGTAGCAGCAACTTTAAATTTTCATACAATGCCTGACAACTAGTAGATGCCAGACCACCTTTGCAATAGTTTTAGGAGAGTCAATAAGTATTTAGATAATTAGAGTTTTCACAAAATGTTATTTGTAAGTACACATTATTTCAGATGCGATGCACATATAGAATCCAGCTTGTATATCTGAGACCATGCTTTCAGATAGAAATAAAATTAGAAGCAATATGACTTCAAATATATATTTGCTATTGGTATTTTAAATTGAGGATTATAATACAGTGACTTGTTTGTTTGTTTGTTTGTTTGCATAGCCTGGCACCTGTGTTTGCTCTGTTTGTACCATTTTACTGCTCCATACCAAGAGTCCAAGTGGCACAAATTCTGGGCCCGTTGTCCATCACAAACAAGACGTTGATTTATATACTAGGACTACAGGTACGGTACGCATTTTTATGTTCATCTTGCTTTAACCAGAGCTTTTTTTTTTTTTTGGTCGGGGCAGGGGGGGTCTTTTTCTCATTTGATCTCCTTGAAAACAGTGTTTTTTTTCCCATAAGTTTGGCTTCATGATCTATATCAAACGTTCAAAGGAAGTGTTACAGAACAAGAACATCAAGGCATATAAAGTACTAGAATGCTTTCATAGTCTTTAGAAATCTGATAAGAGCTTTCACTGTAATTTGTATCAGTGGAAAGTATTTTAATTTCATTATACAATTCTGTGTAAGTACCTTTTAAAAATCACAGTATGAAGTGGAAACAAACGAGAACCGTCGAAGGGTGGAAAGTGGAAATTCACTGTCAAAATTAATGACTCCAGTGTCACAGATAGAGCGCTGAAGAAACCAGACATGCGTTACCAACTCTCTGACTCCTGTGCTGCATGGCCACTTGGCTAAGTGGTTTGATGCAAAGTGTTGAGAGTTCTTATTGTTTGATCTAAATTGAAAAAGGTTACGTTCACCAGTATCCAGTGTCATTGACCTACCTCTGCTGGGTTCCAGGCCAAGTGACAGAAGTTACATGATTTTCATTTTCTCCCTGTAATACTCATCACTTTTCTTTCACTCTCAGAGCTTTTGATGTGAACTTTTATTCTTCTGTTTCCTGCAGCACTATGGCCTTTTGATCCACTGTTAATACTCATAACATTCCTTATCCCACATATATCAAACCGGATACTAGTGTCTCTGTCAAATGCCCTCCTCTCTCCCCTTTTAACCTTTGGTATTTCCTCCAGTCTGTCTAGGATGCTGTCAGGTGTTATCAGTGGTTCATCTAGGGTGAGTGTTTCCTCACCGCTTTTACAACTGTTTCTCATGAAATGTTTATTCTTCATCTCTCAGCCTACATACAATTACACTCTCCCTTATCCTTCCTAATGTTGTATCACCTAATAGCCCCTTTCTGCAGTTTATTCCTGCTAGAGGGATTTGCTGTGGCATGTTTACTTTTTTAAAGATGTTAATTTTTTTTTTTTAAGAGAGAGAGTGAAGGAGAGGGACAGAGAGAGAGAATCTTAAGTAGGCTCCACACCCAGTGCAGAGCCCAGCAATGGAGCTCAGTCTCAGGACCGTGAGATCATGACCTGAGCCAAAATCAGGAGTCAGATGCTTAACTGACTGAGCCATCCACAGACCCCACATGTTTACTTTTTAAGACCTGTGACATCAGAAGGCAGAATGCAGTGGTGGAAGAGTGCCCTGCACCTGGGGCAGGAGACCCAAGTTCTAGTTCTAGCAAGGCACGGAGACGTGGTCAGTTTTGGAAGCCTTCTGAGCCTCTTGTTGACCGAAGTTATAGAGCATCCTTGAGGGTGAAACATGTTCTATTAATTACGGTGTGAGAGTTCAGTGGAGTGTTATGGAAAGTCTTTGAAGCCAAGTGGACTTTGGTTTGATTACTTGCTCTGGTAGTTATTTGCTTTGTCACTTTTCTGAGCTCCTGTTTGCTGATCTGTAAAGATAATGTCTATCTTACAAGGTCCCTTGAAGAATTAGAGATAATAGTGTTGGTCATTCAAGATAATCCAAACAGATAATAAGAACTAAGTCATTTGGTTCCAAAATTAATTAATTAATTAATTAATGTCTCTTGGTTTTTCTGAAATTGTGCATGTTATTTTCTTTCTTTCTTTCTTTCTTTCTTTCTTTCTTTCTTTCTTTCTTTCTTTCTTTCTTTCAGTGAGATAGAAATTACTATCAGAAAAAAGAGGTAGACATGCCTCGTTGGCTTCTTGAAAACATGGATGGCATCCACGGTTCCTTTTGCTTATTCAGTATCAGGTCCCAACCCTCCCCACCTTGATGTGATATGGACCCCTTATTCTCAAAGTGTCTATTCTCTCCCTACCTCTCTCCTCCCTTGATGTTCTGCATCTTTCTGTCTTCTGCATAGCACTTCTTGAAGCCAGGAACATTGGCTGAATGAATGAGGGAAGTGAGTGAATGATTCAGTGATTTTAATCATTATCAGAAGACCAAAAATGTTTGTGAACGTGTCAGATGGCTTGAGAGCCAGTCATGTAATGCCCTTGCTGGGGGCTGTAGAAGATAAAATGAAGCATGAGGTGTAGCACTCTGTCCTCAAGGAGCCCAGCAGTGAGAAACAACATACCTACTGTTAAAACACATGAGCACACAATTGGGACCAAGCAAGCAATAAGATGAGGGGCTTAAGAGTCCAAAGGAAATCATTTTTTATTGACAAAATTCATGATACTCTCTTCTTACTCATGTTTGAGAGATGGCAGCCTGGAGGTCATGATCACTGGGTGGCAGAGCTAGACCAATTGGGTACACTGCCAGCTCCATCACCTGCCAGCTCTCTGACCTTGAACAGATTACTTGACCTCTCAGTTTTCATGGTTAAAATAGGGCTCAAAATAGAACTTACCTCATAGGGTGATTAGGAGGATTCAGTAAGTTTAATAAATGAAAAGCATTAAGATCGATCCTTGGCACATAGTAAGTGCTATAAAAGCGTTAGCTAAAAACAAATATAAAATAAAACAACAAAAAAGTGTTAGCTATTTTATTATTCTTTATATTTCTAGAATAAAACTACAGAAAAGTATTTTTCCACGTAATTCTCATCCTTGTTATTTTCAAAGTTGTTTATGCTGAATAAGCACCCGTGCTAGGTAAAAGGATTAAATTTTAGATCAAGGGATTAAATTTAAATTTGTAACCAGTGCTCCTTTCTCTGTAAGATAGCACTAAGAACACACTTTGTCAGCCTCCTTTTTGCCTGTACTTTGTCATCTCTTACCTTTGTATCTCACTTCTGTTTATGTTTCTCTCTCTCTCTCTCTCTCTCTCTCTCTCTCTCATGGATCCTTGGTAAATGTGCAGAACTTTGAGATTTTGATCTAGCACAGTGTCTATAGTTAGCCCCTGGTCCTGCTTCTTTGTCTAGGAGCAGAAGTCCCCATATACCCAACATAATGGGATAAATATGAGCAAACTGCAGGCTCTAGATCTTTTCCTTCTCACAGCAACACTTTGAATGTCTTACGACTTTAGTTGTTTACCCTCAGCACAACACTCCTATGTCAATGATTTGGAAAATAAATGGAGAGATTTTATGAGACTTAATTCTGATTACTTTTGCATGGATTACCTCAGTATCATTGTCTGGTTTGCTCTTCCCTGAGTGAGCTGGAATGAGAGGCACCACAGGTAAGCCCAGCAGCCCCGGACGTGCCTGTGTACTCGCACAAGTCAGGCCCCTCCAAAGTTAGAGTGACAGCGATGAGAAATTAAAATGAGAGAACTGTGGAAACTAATGTCACCTGTCATTACTCAGCACCAGGCATGGGATGGTGACTACGTATTTTGTATGTTGTTGGTTGTAATAATTGGTTTGTATGTGGTATTTTACTTTGTTTACATCAGTTAATGTCCACTTGTAAATAAGAATATGCCTGAATTTCACTTATTTTTCTTTGCACAGAAGTGGGCCAAGTGCAAAGAAAAAGTATTATTATTTTCTTTTGGATGACAGAATTGATATTTATTAATTTTCTACTTGTTTATATTCAGAGATATACAATTACTATTTAAATGGTTATCACTGTAGTTATGTAAACAGAAGTGTACTGTGACTGGCGATTGAATTTCATTTTTAGTTGCCTTGTTTTTCTTTTATAGCTTTTCACCTCTGGTTCCTACATCTGGATTGTGGCCATAAGTGGACTTGTAAGTGTGATTTCTCTCCCCTAAACTCACTTTTCTGAAGGAACTTTAGGGAAAATGTCATGTCTCCAGCATTCTTTTAACTGTCAGCTCCATCTCAATGCTACTTCCGTACTAATGCAAAGGGGCCAGTTACATGAGCAGTTAACATGAAGGGGGCCAGTTTGTCTCAGTTTTCAAGGTAATTTTGATGAAGGTTTTAGCAGAGTTTCCTGTTAGTATTTTTTTTTTTTAATTTTTTAATTAATTAATTAGAGAGAGAATGAGCAGGGGAGGGGCAGAGAGAGGGAGATAAAGGATCCAAAGTGGGCTCTGTGCTGACAGCAAAGAGCCTGGTGCAGGGCTCAAACTCACAAACCATGAGGTCATGACTTGAGCAAAAGTCAGACACTTAACCAACTGAGCCACCCAGGTGCCCCTCAAATTTTTTTAAATCTGTTTATTTATTTTGAGAGAGAGAAAGAGAGAGAGAGAGCAAGCGAGCACGGGGGAGGGGCAGGGATAGAGGATCAAAGAAGCAAGTCCTGTACTGTCCGCATGAAGCCTGATGTGGGGCTCAAATTTATAAATCATGAGATCGTGACCTGAGCTGAAATCAAGAGTCTGACCCTTAACTGACTGAGCTACCCGGGCGCCCCTCTTGTTACTGTTTTTTTAAAATTACCTTACCAGTTGAATTCATAGTAGGAAAAAAATGACAGAAAATGAAGTTGGATTTACTAAAAATAACCAGAGATGTTCTGCCTGTTTTGTGAAGAGACATTGTCATGCAAGGGGAAAAATAAGGCAAAATGGAAAGTCAGGTGGACTGGAGAATCGTCAGCGTGTGTGTCCAGAGAATGCAGCGGGGGTGAGCTCAAGGGTTTGGGCCGCGTCTTCACCCGTCTGCCTGCCGTGCTCTTTTATTTTATCAAGCATTTGTCTTAAACTCTATTCGTGAGATATTTAGAAAGAAAGCTAGAACATGAGGTTGAGTTTTATTTTTCATCCATAACTCAAATTTGCACTCCCAAGTTTATATAAAAATAAGGTTATAATTAGTGCGTATGGAACATAGTTTTAACTTTTTTCTTGGGGAAGACTAATGCAGAAGGGATTCATAGTGATATATATAGCATCAGGGGGAAAGGATTTGGAAATAACCATGCACTTCCCCGCAGACGTTTTTTGTGCTATCATGAGTTAGTCTTGTTTCCTGGTGGGTGGGATTTGGGCCCCTGTTCTGTTACTTTAGACCTGCTGTCCTCTCTCCTTCCTTTATGCGCTCTGTGCAGCTTCTGTGTGCTCATTCTTCTCATTTACAGTTTAGTCCTTCATTCCCCAGGCTGCCAGCCCGCATCCTGAGGGTCAAAGTCACTTTGTTTCCCCCTCCAGAAATAACCTGTCTCAGGTGCCCAGATAACCGATTGGCCTCAGGCCCACTGAGCTGACTTCCGGTTTGTGGTCTGCAAACCATCCCAGCCGCTTGGTGTTCCTAAGAATGCCGCTTGGTGTTGCATAGTGACTTGGTGACAGTGTGGGATCAGACCGCATCTGTGGGGCACGGTCACCAGGCTACCTCCTAATCCCCGAATCTCCTCCCGCTTGAACTGTCAGTGTGATGAACAGCTATTTCACTAGTGTGCAAACAGTAGATAGTGCGATGCTCTCATAATGAGAGCAGCACGACAGTCTCCTCTTTCTTTCCAGACACATTTTGTTTCCCTTCACAGTGAGTGGTCTTGAGTCCTGTTTTCAATATTTTCCTAAAACACTGAGGAATTTGAGAAGTACCGGACTGTGTGCTCTTTCACGGTGTTAGTTTACTATTGATTGATTGGCTCTTATTATCCAAACCCCTCTTTAATAACTCATTACGTGACATTTGTTTGAAAACATATCATTTTATATCTTTATAGTTGTCAGACTTGGTTTTAAATCAAGGGCTTGCTCTCACCTCAGAAAGTTTTCTTTTGTGGCATTCAGTGCTCTAGAAGTGGAGGTTGCATTTTTTTCATTTCTTTGTAGTCTTTTTAAAATCTAAAATATGCATGTAGTGGTCAGTCTTTTCCAGTACATGTTTAACAGGTAGTAGGTTCTTATTTAAATTTTTTCTAATTAAGTTTTTATTTTAATTCCAGTATACTAAACATAACAGTGTTCTATTAGCTTGGGGTGCTTGTTGTGATAAGAACTAAGTGACATAGGGAATTGTTGGATTTTTTTTAAGAATCAGAAGTTTAACAAATTTTTAACATAAAAATCCCTTGTTTAAGAAGAGTAAATAGAGGGGGTTCCTGGGTGGCTCAGTCGGTTAAGCGTCCAACTTTGGCTCAGGTCATGATCTTACAGTTCGTGTGTTGAAGCCCCGCATCAGGCTCTCTGCTGTCAGCACAGAGCCCGTTTTGGATCCTCTGTCCCCTTTTATCTCTGCCCCTCCCTGGCCTATGCTTTCTCTATCTCTGTCTCTCCTAAAAACAAATAAACTTAACAACAACAAAAAAAGTAAATAGTATTGCACAGCATTTGGAATATAATTCCCAGAACTTAGCATTTAAACAGTCCATGTATTTGTGAACCCCTCTGAACCCATTGAATTTTCACTTTTAACAGTAATGAATTGAGCCTATGTTGACCTACAACGAACACAAATCTGACGGGCACCTGGGTGGCTCAGTCGGTGAAGCATCCGACTTCAGCTCAGGTCATGATGTCATGGTTCATGGCTTCGAGCCCTGCGTCAGGTACTGTGCTGACGGGTCAGAGCCTGGAGCCTGCTTCAGATTCTGTGTCTCCCTCTCTCTCTGCCCCTCCCCCGTTGCTCTCTCCCTCTCTCAAAAATAAACATTGAAAAAAAATTTTTAAATGAACACAAATCTGACAAATATTCATATCAGTTTTATTCTTCATTATTATTCCACCATAATTAGATGATACTATGTTTACTTACAATAATTAATATCAGTCATAATCACAGCCAGTTTTCCTTTTCTTCATTCCTTACAGTAATGTCAATGCTTGTATTGAATTTAATGAATATTTTATTTCTGACTTTTGCCCACAAAACCATGTTTTTATTATGAAACATTTAGTATAATATAGTACATTTTAGATAAGGCTAATTCTAAGGAAGGATATTAAAATCGTGAATGTTCAGTTTACATATCACTGATTTTGGAATCAGAGTCTGAGATTCACAGAGCCACAGCTTGCCCCAGATGTCTGTTGCTCAACGTGACTTCTCTCCCATGTATATCAAGTGACTTCCCTTTTTTTTTCTTAATCCTAAATAAAATGCTAACAAGAAAATAAGATTCTTACTACCAGAAAGAAAAACAGATGGTGTTCAGTGTTCTGGGGGAATGTTTGGAAACCTGTTCATGAAATTTCACCTTCCAGCGTTGAGTCTACTAGTTCTCCTGACATACTGTGTGTGTTAAGGAAGTGATTTTATTTCAATCTGGCAATTCTGTGCTGTTTAAGAGAAAGAGCTTTTTTTGAAAAAGACATTTGTGTAAAACCTAAGTCACGTGTATCTGCTGTCATAGAAACGACCAACTTTTACTCGTGCTTTTCTGGAAAGCTGCCAACTTCGGACTTATTTTATTTAGTTACTGGTGGATTTATTTTCAGTTGGCTAGTTTTTAATCTCTCCTTGTGTCATTTACTCTTGCATGATTATAAATGTTTCTGAATAGAAAACTTTAAAATACCTCACTGACTGAGAGGAGAGAAGTTGATAGAGTTGAGTCAGGGCAGCACTTACTTAGATAGGAGCCCGCTTTCGGGCTTCAGCGATGTCACAGAGAAAAGGAGGACTACATTTTTTTCCTAGGTTGAGAGGGGAGGAGTACTTAGCTTTCCAGGGGCAGTACTGAGCCAGTTGCCTAGGACAGCTGCCACTCTTCAGTTCTATTTTGTGATCCAGCCCAGATTCCACCTGCTGCCCAGAAAGGGTCAGGGGCATTCAGGCTTTGCTTAGACACCACTTCGAGATTATTCACATGTATCATAAACACGTGTTTTATGTTGTGTTGTTTCTCCTTTGGTAATTCTGGCTTTTAATACCAACATTTAATAACATGGGGTGCGTGGGTGGCTCATTCAGTTAAGCATCTGACTTCGGCTCAGGTCATGATCTCACGGTTTGTGAGTTCGAGCCCTACATCGGACTCTGTGCTGACAGCTCAGAGCCTGGAGTCTGTTTCAGATTCTTTGTCCCCCAGTCTCTCTGCATCTACCCTGCTTACATTCTCTCTCTCTCTGTCTCTCCCAAAAAATAAATTTAAAAAAATATTTTAAAATAATCATTTCCATGAAAGGTCACAAAATTGTAATTGGAAAGCTTGGCTACGATGGCCAAGTGAAATATCTCAGTTGGAGCATGAACTTCGACATGTTAGTGTCCACCTCTTCTTCAGGTCTTTGGTGAGAGGCTTTCGGAAATTGGGGGCATTCTTTATATAGTAACAAGCTCTCTGGTCTTGTTACACATGAATGCTTTCTCTCCTTAAAGACCTTGTTGTTTCCTAATTGAACTTATTTTTTCTTTTTATGCTTCTGCAGAGAGCCTTTGGGCCATCCATATCCCTGTACTTCTTCATTTTCTGCCATTTTATGAATCATAGTAGTGAGTCATTACCACTGGGATGTACCCTAATGCTCAAAAGTTGAAGTCTCAGGCCTGTGCTGATTCTGGAATGATTAAAACAGAAAGAGCCTGCTTTCGCCAATTTTCTTTTTCCAGTTCACATGTTTATCGTCATTTGGTCCTCTTTCGAACTATTTGGGGACCAATTAACAGACAGGCCTATGTTTCTCAGACTCCAGGCTTCTCCCCTTGAGCTATCCTTTGCGGCTTGACTATTTCCTGCGTTCGTTCCCTGTTCTCTACAATATATCAGACTTTGATTAGCTTATGATCAAGCAACCTAGTGTGAAAAAAAAAAATCCGACCTACCCAAAAATAAGATTAGAAACATAGATTGACAGCAGATTATTTAGAACTTTGAATGTGGTTTGAG